TTCTCACCTGGATAGCTCTTTCTCTGGGGGCCAGTTTACTGCTCTGTCTGAGGGAGAGGTTTGCTGAAGACGCTTGCTTCCTTTTCTGTCCCAAATGAAACATGTATCTGCCTGCAAAGCAAAAGACAAAACACAGTACATTTTGACTGGGTATGAAGCCATTAACAAATAAGAAACTTAGATGGCCAAGATGACTAAAACAAGTTGGCAGTTTATGTCATCTTAACAATTTAGGAAAAAAACTAAGAAAATTGGGTCATCAGTATTTGAGACAGATATTTGTGTGACTTGTCCAAATTAAATGGGTTAATAGCTGTGAGAGTAAAGGATTGGTTAGTTCTATTGCTCTTAAAGCTGGGCGGAGCGGTGGCACTGTGGCTAAGGATCTGCACCTGTGGCTGGAAGGTTGCCGGTTCAAATCCTGCGGCTGGCAGAGAAATCTTACTGTGTTGGGCCCCTTAACCCCAACTGCTCCAGGGGCGTCATATAAATGGCTGACCCTGTGCTCTGACCGCAGGCTTCTCTCTCCCTGTCTGTGTGCCTGTGTGTCTCATAGAGAGCAAGCTGGGGTCTGCGAAAAGACAAATTCCTAATGCAAGAAATTGTATATGGCTAATAAAATGATATGATCATTGAATTTAAATGTGATCTGGGTAGTCCAAATCAGTGCTCTGATGAAAGGAGCTCAGGCTCCTGTGACTTTCTGAGGCATTCTCTAGATGTACAGTATGTAATCGAGATGTTGTGATTGAATTAAATAAGCTGGTTTGACTCCACTGAGCAATGCTGATTGCAAGTTTAGTTCCTGTGTATTGATCCAGCATCAGTTTGCTCCATGGCCGCTAGGGGGCAGTACTCCGATTGCGAATTGGAGGCAGGGCCTCAGGCTGGGGAGCCTTTCCAGAGCTGGGAAAGGGAATTAATCAGAGCTGTCAAGGCTTCCAAGGAAATAGATTCCCCCCCTCTAATTAGTGTCACTGTGCCGGGAGCAGTCTGCGTGCCTGTCAGGTTCTCCGCTGCTGTTTAAGAATGTATGGCCCCCCACCCCCGCCCCCCACCTTTCAGCTGCTCCACACCTTGTGTCTGCAGTCTGGGGGGGTCACCTGGGCTGTTTGCGCCTCTTTATCTCTTTTCCTTTTTTCTCCCTCTTCCCTTACTGCCTCCGTCATTCCTTCTGGCTGCTGTTCTCCAGTCCCTTCCTGACTCCCGTCAGGCAGGCTCTGGTCTGGAAAAGGCCCTGCCGCTCCGGAATTGTGGGATTGGTCTCCGTGTGGGTGGCTCCCTGAGCCCCTAAACTGTCCGCTTTTATGCGACAGGCGACAACATGCTTTATTGTGGTGTTCGTAGTAACTGCTTTATTACAACAGGACTTTTCTCTCCTAATTAAGCGCTTTAGTTGTATGGGGGCTCCTTGTCTTCCTACCATCCCAAATATGGTGATGCAGTGCGTGGGGAATGAAGGAGCCCAGGGTTTTATACCGTCCCAAACACCCTCTTCTTCCGGAGCGGCACACCTGTTGGCCGCCCGCTCGGTGAAAGGCACCGTGGGAAGGCAGGGCCAGCTGGAGCCGGAGGGGGGGACGGGCTTGATGAAGGGCCCCCACAGTTGAGACACTGAGCCCCCACGTTGGGTCGGGGGCTGGAGCCCAGGCCTGGTCTGTCACCCATAACAGTCCTTTTTCCCCCTCTGTCAGCAGCACATTCCTGCATCCGTTAAAATGGATATTAAACACCCGCTCTATTTAAAAAAAAAAAAGACACACAATTTAAAATGTTTTGGGCTTTTCCGTCCTTGACCGTTTTTTTTAAACGTCTTCATAAACGGTTATTAACTCTTTATTTAGGGCGTTGTTGTCTCGCCAATGAAAGCATTCACCAGTAAAACAGGAGTGTTAATTGGAAATCCCACGATAATCCATCGGAAACAGATTGCTTTATATTTCAGCTTTTGCTCATCTGGGAAATATTCATTTGTCTCTGAGTAGGCCGGATTGTAGTCTTTTTTTTAAACAGCCTGTCGGTTACGTCAACATTGGGAGGCTTCGTGAAGTCATGAGAATTTTCCAATTTGTCTGTCTGAGTTCAGTTAGCCTAGATGCTTATTTAAATGAGCATATATTTAGCTTTTTCAGCTGACCAACAGCTGTTTACAGTCGGGATGACTGGTCGCATACTGTGACCCTCTATATAGATTGACTCTATTGTATGCAGGTTCCCTCGATAAGTGGAATAACTTTGTTCATCTCTCGAGAAGAAGTGAGAATGACTCCAGTGACGCTCGGCCGAATGATTAAATGTCTCCTGGTTAGAATCCTTCAAGCCTTGGCAAACCACTCATTTCTAGTCCATTGTCACAGTGCTGCCACCCAGTGGTGGGGTTCGGGAACAGCATTCTCCCAGCATGCGCGTTGGTGAGCGGTTCTGATACTGTAGATCCTGACGGACTGCTTTTCCCCTGCCGGCAGGATGTGAAGATTTTCCGTTCGCTGATCCTGGGGGAGCCGGAGAGGGGACAAAGCCAGTATCAGGCTCTGTGCTTCGTCACGCG